GACATTGGTTTGTCCTGAATCAGGACTTTGATTTCAATTCAGGAAGAAGGAAATTTTGCTGCAAATTTTTTCTAACATTTCAGACTTCACACAACTGACTTCATCCTTGTTGTAGGCAAGTGCTATTGTCAAGTTCGGTTTTACAAAATAACAAAAACAACATTCCTCTTTAACAAACATGCAGGTGGCAAAGATGTAGCTATTAAAGAGATATTTTTTCTAAATAACAAAACAAAATCAAATTTCAACTAGGTTAATCAAAATAACTCTTTATCTTCAAATTACATTGTCAAAATGGGGCTAACCTTTTGTACAGACCCTGAAACAAAATTATCTTTGCCAAGTCAGGATTCCTTTCTATCATATATCAATAACGATTTCACAACCAAAACCAATCTTTTCTGACTGAATACTTGCCTCATATTTGCCCAATTCATTGTTTCCACATGTCACAATTATATTAATTCAGATTCCTCAACACTGAAAATTATTTGCCTATATATCCTCCCTTCTACACAGTTCCAAAAATGCTATAAATTCTTTTCATATCAGATGCTTGTTAACAAAACTGACAATCTGTCAGTACACATTAATCTTCACCTCCCCCCCATCCCCCTTCCAGAGTGATCTACCATCACATATTGCTGTGGTCTATTCATCAAGCCCAGCGCAAACACACATATCATGGTATGGAATTCAGAGAATGCAATTATCCCTCCAACATAATCAATCCGCTGACCAGTCCAGCTTGTATCAGCTGAGCACAAAGACAAACATTGTAACTGACCGCCTTATAGACCCAGACTGAAAACCTCCATTCTTTTCTCAACAAACAGCTTGTATGCACAGGGTTGCGTTTTTTCGTCTCGTTATTTACCTGTTTCGTTTAACTGTGAGTCTATCTAATTTGTCAGGTAAATTTGGTCCTGTGTTTGCCAGCCCTGTGTTGGTATTTGAAGGTGTTTAGAGCATCGGGTGTTAAAAGTGGTCCACAATGGGATCAGGTTTTTTCCTGTTTCAGGATTTGGATTTCATTTCGGGAAGAAGGAAATATTGTCGTCTTTTTTTTGTACTGACATTTTGGCTGTTCTCAGTTGACCTTATCGTCATAAATGAAAACTTATAATGTCACATTTTGCTCACACGAAACTCGTAATTTCCTCTCAGATGAATATTCACGATGCATTGACAGTGCAGAATAATGACAATTATTATGGATATACAACTTCTTATATTCTGTGGAGACGACATTAGAACCTATGTCGAAACATCGCCTCCACAGAATAAAAGAAGTTGTTTATCCATAATAATTGTCATTATTCTTCATCAACTCAACTTCTAATATGCCCATCAAAGAAGTCAATGAAAGTGCATTAGCCATGAAACATAACGTCCGTATTTCATCATCCCAGGCACCCATGAATATCTGAAGATCTGGTCTTCAGAATCCCATGTTTGTCATAGCAGGTGACTGATAAGACCGGGATTACATAATAGCTCATTTGTTGGATTTATGTCATTTCCCCTATTTCATAGATAAATGCTCATGTCAGTCACTGGAATTTTCTGGTCCCAATTTCAGAATTTACAGATCAAAGTCATATAGTTTGAATATTATTATTTGTAATTAAGCATGAGAGTTCAATGTGTTTGCAGAGCTCCAGATAAGATTTAGCTCATGTGGCTACTGTACCCACTGTATTTTTTTTTAGTGGGTATTATGAATGTTGAGTGGGTATTTCATTTTCCGTTACCCACTGCTTTCAAATATGTGCGTATTTCAGTCATTTTACACACCTAAGTATTGTGTCATTGAGAAAGTTTACTAAGCAGGTATGTTCTGCCTTATGTCATACCTAATCAAAACCAACTTAAATATCAGGGAAATGATTTCATAAAAAATCACTCATCCTGTTCTGACAGTACAACACTTGTCCTATACTAACAGCACAACTTGATAGCAATCGATGTCTTTTTCATTACGCAACGATGTTTATAAGTATATTCCGTACGCATTTGTTTTAAACTCTTTGCGTTTCTAACAGTTTAAATGCGTAATTGGTATGCAACAATTATTTTTCAATGCGTAATTGGAAATTTTCTATGCGTATTTTACCCGGATACGCAGCTTATCTGGGCCTCTGTGTTTGGTATGAGGATCAGAATACTTTTTATATTTCTATCAAAATGATGTATTTAACTGCCTAAAGATGAAATGGGGTGAACACGTGCTCTCCATCTACAAATGTTTTGATGAATTTATTTATAAAAACAGTGAAATTGTGTAAATCTGGATTAACTGATTTTCAGATTTGTTTATTTAAAGGTGGGCACTAAATGCCATTCACTGTAGTCTTTTATTCCCAATACAAAACTGCCATATGCCTCTAGTGCACGCAATACGATGTATAATGTCAAAAGGATCTCTCACTCTCTTACATGGCATTAGAAATATACAATGACAAGTTACAGACAATATTTGTCTTGACCGATTTCATCAAATACATTCATCTGTATATCTGTATGAACATTTGTTACATGCTACAGAAGAGATGTGAAGGAGCACCTGTCTATTTCATGATACCAAGGGGGTTGGACAAAATTGTTTCATTGTTACTCAGCACTACAAAACTAATCACAGCTGGAAACAGTTGTTACTTATTGTAAAGCCTTTCTTTCTTGTCAGTTAAATACGTTCGGACAAGCACTGGACCTCATAAATATTTAATCAGGTGTTTTTACTCAGGTGGGTTGCATATGAAGAAACAAACCATATATTATACTGACCTCAAATATTTTATTCATGAATTATATATCGCATAGCTACTAGTTACATATTCTTGCTACATTCTGCATACAGGTGCATTAAGCTCAACTATCAACAATGGAAATCTGATATCCTTCATGCATACATCACTCACATGTTACAGACCCCGGCCTTTTGTATGGTCCCAGAACCTCCCCTTTTGATATAAAGAATCTCCCTTGATATATAAGGGTGGGGAAGAAGTAGCCTGGGCTAGGCCGGAATCTCCCCTTTTGATATAAGAGCAAGGGTGGGGAAAAGTAGCCTAGCTAGGCCAGAATCTCCCCTTTATAATATAAGAACAGTAGCCTGGCTAGGATATAAGAGCAAGGGAAAGCCTAAGTCTCCCCTTTGATATAAAAACAAGGATTAGCCTAGCTAGGCCAAAATCTCCCCCTTTTGATATAAGAACAAGGATGGGAAACAAGTAGCCTTTAAAGTTGATTCAAGGGTGGGGAAAGTTTGGCCTAGGACAAACTTTCCCCAGGTAAGATTAAGCCTAGGGGGAAAGTTTGGCCTAGCCTAAAGTTTCCCCAGGGTTTGGCCAGGGGGAAAGTTTGGTCTGTTACACCGGATCTCCTGCCATCGTGGTTTACTCAACAATCACCCTCATTCCCTTCATTTACACACATCCATTAACACGAACAAGATTTCTTCAGATCGTTCACCAAGATATGTAAACACCTGTTGGATCCCAATCTTTCTATGAACATAATTTTTTTCAAATTTAATGAACTTATCACACTCCTTTCTTCTCATAATAAATCAATATTTGGACGAGTTATGAAATGTGTTAACTCAATGCTTACAAGTTAAACGAACACAATACTGCCTGAAACCCACTGCACTGAGAACTTGTTCTCATGAAAGCACTTATTTACAATCTGAAAAGAAATTTCTCTTTAATTTACATTTTCCAGCGCAGAGTTGACTGAGGCTCTTTAAGTGTTGGTCGTACAGATATGGTTCATTCATTGTCTGCATGTTATCAAGCGTACAGGATGACTCACAACTGGTGAATGACAGGCAGTATTTACACTCAAGGCATGTTTCATTTGTGCCATTAATAAAACAGTTATGCCTACAATGTTGCCGACCTCATATATCAACACATTTTACGGAATATTTATTCAAGTCTGTATGTTTTCCTGTTGATAAGGGTTGTACTGTGTATGCAGTTTAAAACCTGATTTCTGTTTCAGTTGTTTAGGATTTGTTTCTTTAGCATGATTTGTGCAAAAATTAATCAGCATATTGTGAATATCAATTGATGAATAACATCAATTACATTTCCATAACATATATAACATGTCATCATCAGCATTGTCATCATTATCCTCAACATTTTCATTACCATCATCATCAGCATTGTCATCATTATCCTCAACATTTTCATTACCATCATCATCAGCATTGTCATCATTATCATCAACATTTTCATTACCATATCATCAGCATTGTCATCATTATCATCAACATTTTCATTACCATCATCATCAGCATTGTCATCATTATCATCAACATTTTCATTACCATCATCATCAGCATTGTCATCATTATCATCAACATTTCCATTACCATCATCATCAGCATTGTCATCATTATCATCAACATTTTCATTACCATCATCATCAGCATTGTCAACATTTTCATTACCATCATCACCACATCATCACATCATAACAACCACATCATACATTTCATCTAAAATCCATCAATTCCATTATAACTCATTTAAAGACCTCAAGGAATTAATACAGTTAAGTTCATCTGTTCATCGGTAGTAGCATACAAGCTACAACTCCACCGACAAGAGAGCTTCCATAAGACCATATAGGTAACGTCGCTTTTAGTCTGAGGCACCTAATCTGTTTGACTTTACAAAATGTAATCTTAACTCCTTCCATCTGGGATGTTAAACTCTAAATCCAGAGCAAACAGAGCTGTTTTCATATTGTAATGCATCTCCACCTAATCGCTTGCTACTCTTCAACAACCCTCATTACAAACAAGACACACATGAAAGGGAACACTTCAACATGTAATAGATCAATCCACATTTGACACTGACAATCAAAACAAACATGATGTTGACAAGACTTATTCTCACCTGCAAGATATACCCTCTTTCTCTCCATAACAGGTGCTCCCAATTCATGTCTAACTATATATAGCTAACCCCTTTACGGCTTACCTGTCAGAGTGAGAAGTGAATGCATAGACATCGTATTGTCCAATAAAAGGCTGAGTCACTGATATCATCTTCCCGTATGTGAGTATACTCCATCCTTCCTGATATCCTCCTTCCTTCCACCATGAAGCATCCAACCTTTCTGCATCAGCTCGGAGGCTGGCTGAAAATGACGAAACATTGGTGAGATTTTGTTGGTCATCTTACACGGATAAGTAACTAGAGAAAATACTTTGTCATGCTTTCCTCCTGGCGTGGAATGTGCCCTGTGGGTAAGCATTACACGTAAGTATGTGCCAGAATAAAGTACACCTTTGTCCCTACATTGGATACTGCATAGCTTTCCAGTTGAGTGCAACACATCATACAGAATAGACTGGCACATATGGGCGTAGCACAATAGCGCTTTTGTCACCTGTACAAAGAAGTTCACACGCGGGCCACTAGAGGGCACTCTACTTCCCGCTCCAACAATCTAAGAACACGCTAAAGTCAACCCTCTTCATATCCTGACCTTAGACGCTGAAACTGGATACAACTTTAAAACAGTGATCTCAATCATTATGGCACACAACATTTGTACATATGCCCATTACTCTGGCCCGTTTCTGCGTGCAATGGAGACCAATCAGATCATGGTGTTCCTTCATTCACAGAAATGCTTCATTTACTCAGGGAATGTGCAAACTAGTCAGATGGGGGATCTTCTCCATTCACAAGATTCCAGCTGATAGCAAGCCAGTGCCCCACCAAGATCTTGCCCTTGCCCCTGTCAGCGATATGCCTCATTTGCACCTGAAATGTGCAATCTTTGGGGTAATGTACCTTGCAATTGCTCATTCACAGATCTGCCATATTTGTGCTTCAACTGAGCAACTCCAAGGGTGGTATATTCGGCTTGCTTTTTTTTCATTGTGTCAGAATACATGCGACTTCAAGTTCATTAGAAGTTGACTTCAAAACTACTGAAACTGTGATTCATTTGCACTTGATTTAGAAATTCATGCAAAGATGAATTGAGATCATGGATCTTGTGAGCCTGCAATCCCATGTACATGTTTAACCACTGCAGTTCATTCTAAGGTATTCATTGGTGAAGTGCATTCTTTTTCACACATACATTTTTACACAAAGTTTTAATGGTACATAAATCCTAAATCCAGTTCCATCTGCACCAGTACTTACAGCCTGTTGAACTAGTCAAAGCCATTTGCACCAATACCTGTAGCCTGTTGAACTAGTCAAAGCTATTTGCACCAGTACTTACAGCCTGTTGAACTAGTCAAAGCCATTTGCACCAATACCTGTAGCCTGTTGAACTAGTCAAAGCCATTTGCACCAGTACTTACAGCCTGTTGAACTAGTCAAAGCCATTTGCACCAGTACCTACAGCCTGTTGAACTAGTCAAAGCCATTTGCACCAGTACTTACAGCCTGTTGAACTAGTCAAAGCCATTTGCACCAGTACCTACAGCCTGTTGAACTAGTCAAAGCCATTTGCACCAGTACTTACAGCCTGTTGAACTAGTCAAAGCCATTTGCACCAGTACCTACAGCCTGTTGAACTAGTCAAAGCCATTTGCACTAGTCAAAGCCATTTACACCAGTACCTACAGCCTGTTGAACTAGTCAAAGCCATTTGCAGCCTGTTGAACTAGTCAGTACCTACTTAGCCTGTTGAACTAGTCAAAGCCATTTGCACCAATACCTACCCAGTACTTACAGCCTGTTGAACAGCCTGTTGAACTAGTCAAAGCCATTTGCACCAGTACCTACAGCCTGTTGAACTAGTCAAAGCCATTTGCACCAATATCTGCCTGTTGATTCAAAGCCATTTACACCAGTACTTACAGCCTGTTGAACTAGTCAAAGCCATTTGCACCAGTACTTACAGCCTGTTGAACTAGTCAAAGCCATTTACACCAGTACCTACAGCCTGTTGAACTAGTCAAAGCCATTTGCCTGTTGAACTAGTCAGTTTACACCAGTACTTTGCTACTTAGCCTGTTGAACTAGTCAAAGCCATTTGCACCAGTACCTACAGCCTGTTGAACTAGTCAAAGCCATTTGCACCAGTACTTACAGCCTGTTGAACTAGTCAAAGCCATTTGCACCAGTACTTACAGCCTGTTGAACTAGTCAAAGCCATTTGCACCAGTACTTACAGCCTGTTGAACTAGTCAAAGCCATTTGCACCAGTACTTGCAGCCTGTTGAACTAGTCAAAGCCATTTGCACCAATACCTGTAGCCTGTTGAACTAGTCAAAGCTATTTGCACCAATACCTGTAGCCTGTTGAACTAGTCAAAGCCATTTGCACCAGTTTGCACCTGAAATAGTCAAAGCCTGCAACAGCCTGTTGAACTAGTCAAACCCACCAATACTTATTTTGAACTGTCAAACCCATTTGCACCAGAAATGTACCTAAGCTGCTATCAAATCTATTTGCAAAAGCCATCAGCAATGAATTTGACAAAAAGTCTACCGCTACTCTTGTATCTGAAAACTATAAACCAGCAAGAAATATATGCTGCAACAATTTCATCTTTAAGCTCATGTCTATGCACATGCTAATGCCATATTTCATGTCAATGTGCACCTCTAAGTGGAGGTTTTGGATGTCTACACTATGATTCTGTGTTAAATACAATGATTACTTTCTTCACTGGCGTTTTTTGCCTATTATTCAACTCCCTGAAATCAAGCTCCCCTGGATAAGGCTTGGAACACAACTGATACAATTGTATGCTCCAGTATACAACTGAACAATGACAATTGTTCCATGCAGATGACAAGCTAAGACAAAAACGTCCTCAACACACAAACTATGCATTATTCTATTCACACATTTCCCAGTCAAGAATAGCCCAAATCCTCTTAACGACCACCACCATGGCAAGACAATGTCTCAGCCTCTGGTAATCTCAATTGACCTTTGACCTGAACCCATCCCAGCTCTCATTAGCGTCTAGACCACAGATAAAACCTGAGTTCACCTGTGTCCCACTCCCAATACCAGATTGCCCCAGAATAATAAAACCCTTTGTCTTGGAGTCTTTGAAGACCAGTGCCAGATATTCCCTGGCACTCCACAAGATTCACCACTAAGTATTATTCCACACAACCAGTCTTGGCAATAATGGTAATGAGTTTTAAGTAGAAATACAGATTCTGAACGTGTACAAAATCCTACACCCAAACATACAAATATTGTCAAGCCCAAATCATGATAGGAAATAATAGTTCTCTATTAACCATTTGAACTGTTAATGAAGTCCAATTGCAGGACAGAAGCTTAATGGTTTACTTAAATATAGAACATCAGTGTAAAACAATGCCCTTGACTATCCTCAGAAACAAATTCTGCCAAGCGTAAAGGAAAACAATTGCCATGAAAATTATAAGAATTGATCACTGAAAATCAGTGGTGAAAAGAGTAAGCATGTTTCATATTAGAAATAAATATCAGTTGTAGCAATTACCTTGTATAATGGGAGAATAAGATTGTGTTTTCAATTCATTAAACCAAGACCCGTGAAGGTTTGGGTTAGAATATTGATCTTCAGTAACCCATGCTTGTCGTAAGAGGCGACTAACGAGATCGGTTGGTCAGGCTCGCTGACTTGGTTGACATGTCATTGGTTCCCAATTGCACAGATCGATGCTCATGCTGTTGATCACTGGATTGTCTGGTCCAGACTCGATTATTTACAGACAGACGCCATATAGCTGGATTATTGCTGAGTGTGGCGTAAAACTAAACTCACTCACTCACTCATTAAACCAACCACTGTACCTTGACCATGGTTATTCGGCATGCATTACAATACAATATGTTTATTCATCAACCATAGAGCTATGACAACAATGAGATTTTAGTATACATAAAAGTTGGCAATCAACCATCTAGCTATTGTTCATGATGATTGATTATCTAATATTTTACATGAGTAAATATTTCTGCCATGCTGTTTGCCTGTAACAGATTGTGATTTACAATCAAGTATGGTAATCGATTGTGTATCTTTTAATAATTTATTAAAAATAATTGACATAATGTTACTGGGGTTTTTTAAACATAATTTGGCCTACTTTATAAAGTCTCTGATCAATATGACAAGCAGTTGTGGAGAAACTAGCATCATAAAATCGACACAATGACATCACATTCTGCAAGGCCCACTCAAAATCAATGATGGTTAGTAATATTTCAGATCAACTTTGTATGAATACAGATATACAACCATAGCATTCATGCTCTTTCAACAAAGAGTGGCATTCGCCTCTGGATCAAAAGTTGTTTGATCAAGTTAACAACATGCAAGATGTAAGCAAAGCTTTAAAATACTTCAAGGCACGCCATTGGAGGACGTTACCAAATTTGACACATCCATGAGAAAAATGATGTTCCATGCAATTCCCAAATTTGACTTCAGTATCAGGCAAAAAAACTTGACTTGACTTTGCATGTGTTTGTGATGATTGACACTGGTGAGGCAAGACATGCTCTACTAAGATCTAAATGATTTACAAATAACATTGAGTGGAATACATTGATATATCACTAGCTTGTCCTACATGTTGTCTTCCCTTTGAGATTTGAGGACCAAACAGTCTGTAGTACACCTTCGACATTAAAAATGAGTTAAAAACTATCTTCTTTACAACATTTCTTACCTTTTGCAAAAACATGTCATTATCGTGTTATTGTCGAAGGTGTAACTGATATGACAAAGCCCAAGTCAGCAGATACAACAGCACATTGATGTTTTATGAAGTAAGACACAAACAAGGGGTTGGAGGCCCTCTGACTGAAACTTCAGCAAACAGACAGCATTGTCAATTGTATTCGCAACACAGTCCATCATTCTTTGTGTCTTTAGTATAGATTCCTGAAGACCTCAGTTTATCATATAACGAACAAAGTAGAGCTGTAGTAACACACATATACTATTGTTTACCACCAGGACATTTTACAAGCTGTCAAACCCATTTTCCAGATGGTTTGGGAACAACAGTGCAAATGCCTATGTGAATAATACTTATGATGTTGGTGAAATGATGAGAAACGTCTTAAAGAGACCTTATAACTGACAAAGAGTTTTTAACGCAAATGTTCAAGTATCAGTAGAGGGGACAATGGCCGAGTGGTTCTGCTAACAAT